CCTCGCTGCGAATTAAACTTCCCAGTACTCGGTTCGTTAAAGCGGCGTTTACACTAGGCAACTTTCGCTCGGCCGACCGAGTCATTCGACTAAAAGGTTTACACTGTAGAAGGCTTCGTCGCCCGACTTTTTTATTGGTTAAAATGGTTAATAATGTCCTACGTAAAAAGGTTGTACGTGTAACGTCAACAACAATTGCAATGAGTTTATTAGGCGAGTTGAAAAAAATGATTAGTCGGAAAATTAACAGAAAGAAACATCATTGGTGGGTTAGAGAGTGGATACAAAGGCGACCTGACCATCATCAGCAAACTAATTATAAGTTGCTGGTACAGGTATATAAATTTATTTATATTTTCTACATTCCAATGTAGTTTGGAATGTAGAATAATATAAGTTGCCTAGTGGAAACGCTGCTTTACCGACCAAGGCGAGCCCGAACGATCTCCACGCCCGTTCCCGTGATATATACGCCGATATTGCGCGATCGAACACAATTCGACCGGGTTTCTAAATTAAGAAGGATCCTTGGGACTCGAACGGCTGTACCCACAACGGTTGTTACGTGGAATTTAACTATCATTTATGTGGTATTAAACCTAAGCCAGTCCGATTACGTTCGAGTCTCAATGGAATCACGTGGTACTGGACACGGCGCTGTGCTAATTCTCGATTAAGTCCGATTTATTGTTCAGTGAATGGAACTACTTTCGAGAAAACGGGAATGCGAAACGGACCGGTCGAATAGGGGTGTTTTGTGCGTCGAAAAGCATGGTTTATTCGATTGTCCTCTATCACTTTTTACGTACAGGGTGATAAGAAAAATGTGGAACGCTTTCATAGGGTGGATTCCACAAGCCAAACTAGTCAGGAACATCGCGAACGGTGGTTCTTTTTAAATTTGAACAAAATTTTGAAAAAATTTTGGTACTGTAAATTTATACAGCTTGTACTATTAAATCTTTGTTTGAAACATTTTTTCCTGACTCTTGTCTTTAAGAGTTATACCCGAAAATGTGGAAGTGCCAATTTCATTTTGAGGTTAGTTTTCACACCCTCAAAGGGCGACTAGGCAGGAGTGAAACATATATCATGAAACAACATCTTCCCATTTACTTCTCTCTGTGAATCTGAATGTTTCTTCCCCGATGAAAGAAATATGTGCCCTCCCCCTGCTGTTAATTTCTTTGGGCGACGAAAAGCTCGACCCTTGAGAGTACAGTGTCGATGAAAATTACCATGGGAACTCTGTCGTCGCGATGGCTAATTCCGTTCTTAGGGAAATCGATGTATTTTTAAAGGCTTACCCTTAGACACTTCGTTACCCCATTTAGCTTCCAAAGCTTGAAAAACTGCTATTCGGTGGCGAACTAGGGTAAAAATGAGGGCAGGCTTTGAAGAAGAGTTCAGGCGACCATGGTGCAAGTTAATCGACTATACGTTCAAAGTGTATATCGGTCTTGTGGACGAGGATATAACGATGTCATTTCGTAAAAAGAATTTTTGTTATGAGAGAATTGAATCCTTGGATCCAGAGTCGTCTAAATATTAGACCCTAAACTCTAAAGTATTGCTAGAATTTTCAGAGGCATTGTAAAAGGGAAATTAATCCTGAAGGGAAATGTTTACTTTAAAAGGGGATTAGTTTGCACCGCAATGGGCAAAGCATGGATTAGGGAACACTTGTCTGCTGTCATAACACCCTTTGTCGACCAGCGAATCCTAACCTCTGCCTACGGCTTCGCTGAGATTGCTACCTTACTATGTACAGTCTCGTACATAAGTATTAGATCAGTTGTCGAATATGAGATGAATGTACCGAGGCATTATGAAATTATTGAAAAACTGAAATAAATATCATTTGGGAGATGTTGAAAGAAAACAGTGGATATTTACCAAGACGATTTATAAATTTTCCTCAGAATTCAAGAGACGCGTAAGATTAAGTTTTCTACGAATTATAAAAAGAGATTCCAGTCACGTGGGAATTTTTACAGATATATTAATACAAAGGAAACAAATCCACGTGGCTGATTGATACCTAAACGCGAACGGCACTTTTTAAAATACGTGACTCGGCTACGTACTATCGTCTTTAATTTTCGAACAAAGCCCCGTGGCCCCAGGCGATGATGTCGGATGCAGTCGACCGAGTCAAAGGGAAATTCAGCCCCCGTCCAAGTTGAGAAAGAAACGAGCTCGTAGATTTGCGTTGAAACTGTACCGGAAACGGAACTTCGCGAAACCATTCTCTTATTTTTTACGCGTTGCCAGGAGGGCCGAGAGATGCTTTCAATAGGCGGTTACCTTCTTAATTACCACTCAGAATTCTATACTCCACTTATACATAAACTGTTGACCGAAAATACCAGAAGTTTCTTTCGATGAAAATTTAATTTTGTTCATTTATTCAGAACACTTTAATATGTTCTACGTAGACTGCGGAATTTTATGAAGTAATTCACAGAAAACGAAGTTATGTATAATCGTATTTATCTTAATAAGGGTTTTCTCAAGTACGAAATAATGTGAGAGGTTTATTGAAATTTATGGAATTATTAATGCACCGAGTTTTAAACATTTGTTTTTGCTTTGATATATATAACTTTGCTATATTACACGTTTTCATAACTTGTTACAAGATGATACTTCCTGGACGAGTCTGCAACAAGTTTGTATAACCTTTTCCATCTCATTATTTAATAATGGCGTCACACTTGATGAATAACATATATCTTGCTATAGAACACGAAAAATGCTATATAACATTTTTCATTCTGCTTTTCTAACAAGTTTTATAACTTTGCTATATAACGTGCTATGCTATATGTATAGTGCAGATGCAGATTTACATTGAAACCGTGTTGTAAGAGGGTTGGATGTACACTTTTAACGTTTAGCTCCTTATTTTAGACACCCACACTTCTTTATTTTACGTACCTACACGCCGTGCATAAAATTCACATTTATAAACTTCTATAAAAAAAGGAGATTAAAAACGAAAAGTCGTTTTTCAATCAGATCGATCCAAATACCGCACGAGGATTAATCTAATCGCTAAACAAGTTTAACCATGAAGGGCAGAAGTTATTCAACGACAGGTGCCAATAATTCCGTCCGTTCAAATCGAGTTGCGCCCATCGACTGTTAATAAAGAAACTACTTGTGGACGTTAACGAACCGAATTTACCGAAGTTCCACGAACAAATTCAGGGCGCATCTGGTACCAAGGATACAGGTAATTCCAAAAGCGACCCGCTCGAGTTATCCGAATGGCCAGTTTCTGTCGGATCTCCGATTCTATCGGCGCGCGCGCGCGTTCACCAGAACCAGGAGGAATTAATTAATCAGACAATAGTCGAGCCCTGATAAATGGCCTGGACGGAAGTGAATGATCGATATGAGACACCGTGGCTACCGTCAACGGTGTCATGCATTACGCGATGAATACGCGTGACGAATGGGGTAACGTTTTCTGTTCAATCGACTCCGTTTGATTATTGGTCCCGCAACGAGAGAATTCAGGCAATGTGAACCGGTTCCAGCGAAATTATTATCTAAGGCAGCTGGGAATTGAATGGTCCGTCAAATATGTTACTGGTGTCTGCTATAATTGCGAAATATACAGGGTGTACCAAAATAGCTTCGACTCCCGGAGATGTGGGGTTCCTGGGATTATTGGATGCAACTTTTTCCTTAGCGAAAATGTTGTCAGAGGCTTCGTTAACGAGATATTAACGAAAAACACCGACCAATCGCAGCGCGTAGCCAGTGCTCCTGCGGGAACCTGGGAAGTTGTAGGTGGCGCTAATTGTATTGATTCAAAATTGCTCTGTATACAAACGATGCCTACATATCGATATAAAGTAGTCCGAAATAAAAATTTTAAAAATGTTATTGAATGTTACTGCAAAGTCTATAGGACCTATTGTGAAGTCGAAAAAATAAAATAGCCGCATTTTGTATGAGTTTTAACAAAGAAATATAATAAAAGGAGGAAATTTTACGTTTATTATTGTGACTAACAAAAGAATTTATGTTTTGAAAATTCCCCAAAGAATTATGTTGCAATTACCCATACGTTATAATGGGCACTGTTTGTATACAGTACATTTTCAGATGAACACCGCTTAGCGCACCTAAAATGCAGGAATGTTGAAACAAAAATTTTGTTCATTTACCTCAATGTATAATTTTGTTCTTCTATTCCACGATGACACGTTTTTTATTATATATGTATACTGAGTCTACCAATAAGTAATCCATTATCTGTTTCAACAAACCAGTAACAATTTAAATTCAAAACTCGATTAATAAATAGCCGAGGAATCCTGTTACTAGGATGAAATCAATCTGGTTGTTCTGATCTGTCGATAATCCATAATCGATATTAAGCGCAGACATCCTTTTCACGAAAATAAATCATTCCTGAAGAAGGAACGTGTAACAATGCTATCCAATAAATTCTCAGCGTCCACAAAAGAATGTAATACCTCATAAAAATGTCTCAGATTAAAAATTCAATATCACAAAGAAGACAATAATTGGAAAGAATACTTAAAATAAAATAATTTTATGGGAATGATTAAACTGCAGACCTTTACATATTCATACCTTACAAAAATCTAAAAGAAAAATAATTAAATACAAGCTTCAACAAAATTTAACATTTTTACTCTACTTCTAATTGCTTTAACCCCCTGCCTTATAACATCTAGTTCATAAACATGAATATTACTTGTTTTCTTTGAGTCAAAATGAAATACTATTCCGCCGGCATTAATATTTAACATTCCAAAATAAACGTACACGTGCAATTAGTACAGAATTCCTTCTGTTCCTGGGAAACGAGTAACAGCAAAGTGATTCTGAATATTGTAGACGTCAAGAAAGTTGTTAGACAAGGGGTTATTAAATTTGTCTGTGCAACTGTATGTAGGTCTACATAAACGCCTGCAGTCTAGAAAAGATGAGAGGTACAAATTCGTCGGTTAACTCACTATGAGAAGAACGCATCTATTTTCAGAAGTTACACCGCCGCAACCAAGCCAGCTACCGATCACAGCCAGGACACCTGCGACGATTAAAGCGTAGGCCAGTGTCGGATATGTGGAGGTCGTCATCAGGGATACGTAGCTGTGCTTCGAAATCACAGTCCAGACACCGATCCCGCCAACGACCAGTCCAGACAGCTGAAACAAAAATAAACGGCGTCGATGATCAGTAGACTGCGGATTTTTATGCAAAATAAAAGTTTCTAAAGTATTTCATAAAGACAGAAAGTCGAAAATTAGTGCCGAAAAGTGTCGAAGGATTAGAGCTTTATAACTTTGAACGCAGACTTGACTTTGTGTAAGTAATTATACTTAAGTAAGTAAATACTTGTCGAATAACAAATAAATACATACTTATTAAATAAGGTAGATTCAACAACGGAGACTGACAGTAACGACGGGATCAATGTACAAAGAAGTTCACTATACGATGGTTGATTTTCGACTAACTGTTCTGGCTGGATTTGACGGTGAGAAAAACTACTAAGAAGGGAGAAACTTTTCTATTGGTTAAATGCTGACAATACTGTCGATGTTTCCCTAAGGCCAATTGGACGAATCAGCCTTTGTAAAAAATTAATGAAAGGCCCCTGCAACTACCTAGGTACATATGGTCTGCAGCTCTTTAGAAATCCAAATTCGCGAAGGTTTATGACAATAAAACAATTTACACAGTCGCGGTCATATCATTAGCGACGTGACAAAAATATTGGACTGTATCATAACTGAATAGACTGCGGAATTTTATGCAAATTCACACTTTTAGGTACGAACATTTAAAAGTTAAAAGGGGACATAATCTTAAATTATGTATTAGAGGCTTCAATATTTAAACATTATTAAAATCTTTGTTTTAGTGTATTTTCCAAGTTAAGGAATGCTATAGCTGCATAAACAGCTGCAGTCTAATCATAACAACAGTTGTCGCTAATAACCTACACAGTTCTTAGAAAAATACAATACACCTAAAAAATTTGGATACTCTTGGTCGCAATTATTACACTGTGAATAATATTTATGCAAATTCGCGGTTTTCATAGACTAATAAAAAAAAGTGAAATGAAACAATGGTAGACTTTCCTTAAGAGTTTCACTATAATACACAGCAAATACAACCTGTATTAAACTGAATTTTTCCGTGTTTCGCTTATTCACACATTTTCTAAATGCAGGAACGTTCGTAGTTTTTAGTTTCGCAAGTTCTAAAGCGTAATAGGTTTTTAGAATAAACTTTCCTGTGAGATATGAAAAATTTCAATGTTTCCTGCCCACGAATATGGGCGAAGAAAAAGCAGAGTATTATACTGCAACGGGGACGAAAAGTTTTGAAACACCTTTCTCGCTACGTGTGGACAAACTTTTGATGCAAGCATTCCCTCGTACGTTATACGTAAACATACACACAGAGACACTTTATGTGTATCGATTGCACGCGTATGTACAGAATTCACGAGGTTCAAAAATGAGAAGAAAATATTCGGATATCATCGTTGGGTAATTATCGTGTTCAGTAAATTGCAATATTTTAATAGCATTCCTAGGAAATTGTAAAAAAAAATGAAACAATATTGATCGTCAATGCAATAACAAAGAATTAACGTTGGTGAAATGACTGGGTAGCTTTAAAGCTTCCTAGCCAGCTCTCCGTCTACAACGGCAACCGTACATGCACACCGAGGCCTCGAAAGAGTTACCATATTAATCCCCGCTCGGAACGATTCAGTATTCATACGCATAAAAAGCCCGACAATATCGTTCCGTTCCAATTAATTCATCCGGATTCGAAACACGTGTCCCTTCATGAACCTGCATGCACGCGCGGCATCGGCTCTACTTGGAGCACGCGCGCGCCCGGAATAACGACGCGCTGTAATCTCCTCGCTGCGCCGTGTCTGGCGTCCCCGTGGCGACACGATCATCTTGGACAAGAACGTTTTATTCAGCCGCCGACACCGGGGTACACGCGAAGCCCCCCATTGAATTCCACCGAGGCCACCGGCCAGATACCGTTTCCGCCCACGGAAAACTGCCGCCCCGTGCGACAAACGTCGTCGATAATCCACGCGGCGTGGAGTCAAACGTCGTCGTCCTTCGTTTGTCACTTCGTCCCCCCGATCTGTCCCGTCTCTCTCGGTTTTTTGTTCCCTTTCTGTGTTCAACTTTTTCGTCCCGTTTGCCCCCTCAATTTTTTATCCTCCGACCCTGTGTGACATCGAATGCCTCCCGCGGGAACGGAGCTCGAAGGTGTATCGGGAAATATACGAGCTCCGCGGACGTAAATATCGGTCGGCGGACGCGATATTTACGGTATCGGGGAATGCGCGACGGTATATCGAGTGTACGTGGGCAGCGTGGAACAGGGGTGCGGTGCACACACAATGGGCAAGGTTTCTAAACACGCGGTGGGCAAGTATGAACAACCTAACCCAGACCTGTCAGTGTGCGCGCGCATGCGCGGGAAACGGACCCGTGCGAATTGCAGCGCCGCGGCGGTTGGAAAAAGAGTTTGAAACGGAGACGCGCTGATGAAACTGAACGGGGGTGTAACGGAATTTGAACTAGGGTAAATGTCCCAATTACTGTTAGTGTCCCTAATACTGCCACTTTATTTAATTTACTTAACAAAATCGTGTAGAAAAAGATGAATTGCTAAAGTGTATAAGAATTAATTTAATTCTTGAGGTGACAGATATAGGGACACTGCGATTGTTTGCAGAGTTTAATGAATTATTGATTAATTCTTCATATTCAATGTATAAAACTATTTTTTTAATCAAAGTGATCTTAATTCCTTCTTTCAAAATAGCGGTGAATAATTGAAGAACGATCGAGAAATATCGTTAGCACGGCGTAGAGTTCGGATTTCCTCGAAAATAAGCATTGAATTAAGAATTTTACAAAATTTCTCTACTCCATTAATATCAGCAGGGTGGTTTAAGAATATCGAATTGGTGTCATATCGAAATCATGGAGGTATGAAAGTGTACCTGTACACCTCCCTTTATCATGTTTTTTATCAATAAATAAATATCTACCACAAAAAATGAATAAGTTCTTCCCGGAAGATATAGAAGTTGTCTGTGAAAATATTTGTAAGTTAATAAAGAGAAAACGTGAATTTTAAACTCTCGTTTGACCGGCACTACAGATTCTCCCGCTGGTGTCCCTCGAACTTTGGGGAAGTGGAATCTTCGAAACGGATTGCTCCACCGCACCGGTCGGAGCAATCGTCCAACAGGCTATAAAATTCTAGATCGTAATCCTATCTGGCCAGTAGACCGTGTGGGTAATCCTTTTCTCGCTACAAACGTAATCGTATTAGACACAGATACTACGTGAGAATTTTTGAGAAATCTTCGAACAATGTTAATGGGATTTTTTGGGAAATCAACCGTTAGATAATGAAGCTGGGATGATTTCGATCCATACTATTTTGTCAGAATTAATCCTCTGTGCTTCAACGATTTTCTAATATTAACAAGATTAGAACTCGAATACATTTTTGTTAGGCAGCTTCTGAGTATTAAAAATGGTACTTTTCTGACAAACATTTATTGTTGTCTTATTCACGATTCTAATTATGGTTTAATAAAGCAGATTACTCATTAAAGTTCGAAAAGTTACGTAGTCGATAAGTTAACAATTTATAAAACATCTCTGTCATATTTATCTATCTATAATTTCCCATATTGATTTACTATACACGCTTTGTTATTATATTATGTTGTATATCACGCTGATGTAATACAGACATATTGTTATTGCTCCAATTGAAAGAGACATTTCATATCTGTAACTGGCACTTTCATGTAAACCAATTCGGTATCTTTATCCATTTCACTTGTAATTAAAACGCGAATTAATATCATTGCAGCATGACCATACGAAATGATATATGGACTGTGGTTCATGTACAATGGAAAATGATATCAGAAAGTGTATGTAAGATAAGAAGGCTACTTTGACCACGCTTGCAACTCCAAGTACAAGATTCTGAATGCGAGAGTATTTCTAGTGCCAAGTCTCGAGCTGAAACGTTCGGAATGCTGAGCTTCTCTGCCCACAGTTTGACCGACATTCGATGCATTCTTGTTTCAAATAGAGAAACGTATACAGAATGTTTCGCCGTAATAGGACAGACTGAAATATGCGAATGGCAAGGGAAGTAGAAAAGTTCATAAAAGGTTCGCGTCTCCTAAAATGTTTATATATCCTTCTATTCATAGACATAGGATACTCTAAAACTTCTCCATGAATAAAAAATTATATGTTTGGGCTATGCGATGGATTTTAAATTGTTTGGCTCGGAATAAAATATGGACTCAATATCATTTTTACACTATTATATTAAAAATTAAACGACTTAGAACGAAATCATTTTTACCATCGGAAAGAAGTCCAGAGTATGTAACATGTATGTATGATATGTAAACTGGGGAGAACCTTCGTCCGTAGACATTACGAGGAGAAGGAGGAGCATTCGACGCGAGGAATTCTCATTTTCCATCAAGCTTTCGAACTCGGTGGACCTTCCTGACTTATGTGCTCTGTTCCTAATCCTTCTTTATGTCTTTGGCCGTTTTTTGATCACCTTCTCGAAACCCTTTAGAGTTGTGTTCCGATCTCTGTGTTGCTATCAAATAACCTATATTTTTTTGGTGTGGATTTACATTCATTTGTTCTAGCAACTTGGTAAAATATTCTAACAAGAATAGTTCAGAGCAATTAAAATCTGTGCTTAGTAACTATTCAACTGGAAATTGAGCAGGACACAGAAGTAGAATCAGTATGTCATTCGACCTCTGATAAAGATTGCTGATGACGATCCTAATAACAACTGTAATTTTAGGATTGCAATACTTTCGTAAAACTGTCTAATTTCCAGTGTCTCCTTCAAGAGTTAGTATAATTAAGATTTTGAAAATTTTACTAAAAAGCTAGTGTAAATAAGCTTTAGAACTCATATTCGTGAGATAACTAGGATTCGATCGCCAGTTTCGCTGATTTTTAAGACCACTGGGAAATGATGGTAATTTTTTTCTATTCGTTAATGAAGCTACTGGCCTTTCGTTAGATCATTAATTTGTCTGACTCGTGTTTCTTCCAACACAGGTATAAAGTGTCGTTATAAAGGCTAA